CCTAAGATAATATGGTAGCGGACATTTTTGTGGGCTTGGTGGAGATGTAACCAAGAGTGCTGCACATGCTCAGTATGTTTTATGCCACTGGACCACATGCCAAGCTGCTGTTCCCTTTCTCTTGACCAAACTGCTCTGTGTTTTAGTATGGTGTGCCTAACGAGTAATCTTGACATGCTTTTTATTTAGACTAGAGTTAATTCTCCCACTTTCCCTCTTTCTCTCTACCAGGAAAAATATGAATCATGAAATAATACTATGTTCATAATACAAAGTATAAAAGTAACACTGTTCTTATGTATTGAGTGATATACGAAAGGCTAATGTGGCTTCGCTAGCCCTGCATCTTACATGTCTTCTTTACATCTTCAAACTGCATGTCAGCGCATCTTAAACTGATGCTCAGAATGACCTTCTCTCTTTGTGAAAATGTTCTTCCCTCAGCACCACGTTTTTTCTCTAGTTACTGGACTGTTTTTCTTTTATTTTTCTGCTCTCGAAACAGTGTTGCACACTGACCTATTAATTTGCTGCAAGATTGTGAGGAGTTTGCTGGTAAGCAAACACACACATCTGCACAAACACATAAGTACACACACATACATATATATGTATATACCTATATATACACACATACATATATATGTATATACCTATATATACACACATAAGCATAATACTTTCTGGATATAAATGCATACACACTAATATACACACAAACATATCTAACTATATATATATATATATACATATATATAGGTATGCACACACACATGCAAACAAATTTATACATATACACACATGAACATATAGTATGTGAACACAGAAATTCATGCATGCATACATCCACACACACACACAAATACATACAAGCATAGTAACATACACAAATACATGGAAGCAATATACATATATACATACATGTGCATGCATACACATACCCCTCATATAAACAGACATACACACACACACCCCACGTTCCTCACCCTTGCACACATCATTTCTCATTCTACTATAGTATCTGTGTATATTTGAGGAAGTGCACACAGTATGCTGAATTTTGGTCTAGCATGGCCACATACTAGCCATAACTGGATATTTCCTTACTATCCCTAATACTATACACATTCACTATAAAAATCCATCACATTTATTGTTGTGATCCTTTTATACACCAAATAAAATAACTCTTAAGAAAATCATTCAAATTGTGCCTGACATAGTAAGAATTATAACTACATTTTATCTTTAATTCCTTCAATAAAGTTGACTCTTAAAATTAGTAGGAAATGTTAATCATATTAAAATTTCTTTTTTTTCTCAGCCCGTACAAGTCCATGGTCTGATATGGACCCTTCTACCGCTCAGCTGGAATTGCACTGAAATTATACAACAGCATAGGGCAGGAAGAGGAAATCACAATGCCACTCTGAATGCAAACCATCAAATTTATGCAGTAGAGAAACGAAGAAAATTAGGCCATGAAAAGAATTTTAGCTTCAGTAGCATTTTTTTCAAGTCCCATACTTAAAGTTACAGAACTTAAATTTTTATTCCCGCCAATCAAAATACTGTGTTGCTTTATGAGAATTCATCTATTTATTCTTACACTTGATGTTACTTTTGAGAAAATGTCAGAAAGCAGTGACATATTTTAATCTGTTTTCTCAAATGCTTTTCTCATGATCTTTAAAATTTCCCTCTTAAAAACATTCAATTAATGTAATTGTGTGTGCCCATATGTGCGGCGTATGGCAGTTATCGAGCAGTTGAGGCAAGAATGGGATACAATCTGGTCGTCACACAGCCGCCGTCCTGCTTTGAGAGCCTGTGTGCAATCAGGCACAGGCTAACAGCTGTGTGAACAGAATGCCATGCAATTCCTTTAGTTTGTAAAGGAATTAACTGTTATTTATAGGGAATAATTAATATAACATTTTATATGGGTAAACACATTTTCAATCCTTGAGAATCTGTTAAATTTTTTTTAAGTATGGAAGATGAGGAATGTTCTCAGCTGCCAGCAAAAAGATATGCCAGTTTATGTTTAACTGTGAAATAATTCTGCAGACTGTGGGGACAGCTCAGGTCTAACATGAAGCCAAAGAGTTCACAATAAGTGAAAAAAACTGACCCATTCTCATATCTGTAAACATGTAAATACACTCATGAGAACACTCACACAGTTCCGTTTAGAAGGGAAAATTCTGATGATTCCATGTGCTTCTGTCTTTCTAACTTTTTTTATTCTTAAAACAGAATGGATGGAGATTAGGAAGGGCATAAAAAAGGAAGGAAGGAGAGCTACATGCACAAGTTAATCCCAGGAAAAGACAATGCTGATTTGTCTACCATAAGTGTAAGGTCGTTTATCAACATTAAGTGCCAAGCATCAAATTACTGGGTACTTTGGATGTTTGTGATGCTAAACACTGAATTTGGACAAATGGTTTGTCTTGATTCACCACCACATTTGTTGACTAAATGCTTTGTGATCATAGGTTTGATAATAAGGCTTTGACCTACTTGTGTGACCCACTGACTTCTGAATAAGGATCATTTGCAATGATTAGATTACCTTTGAGATAGCAGTGACTCATACTATGACAATATTTTTCCTGCTGTGATCAGAAACGAGTAGTGTTTCTCAAATTGCACCTGAAATGATATTCTCTGAATAGTTTTTCAATCATCCAAATATTGAAGAGCTCACTTCCCGTTGTAGCTTTTCTCTGAATTGACAGGGAGAATAGTGGTGGTCTGCCGATGGGCAAGCTTTGAGTCATGGAAATGCTATTGTAGTTTCCAAAGTAATAAAGACTTTTTTTAAAAAGTGACTGTATCACTAATTCAATTTGTTTAAACATCAGCTGTGCAGGTGTCTCAGGCACTATCTTTGAAGAAAACACAGTTCGTGGCCATGGTCTGTCTTCTTTCATTGTGCCAAATAGTCATGGACAGGACAGGCAGCTCATGTCCGTCTCTCTCTTTCCATGAGCAGGGGACATGTAAGCAGTGGTGCCAGGCATCTTTGTTCCTGGAAAACTGAAGAACACCTTGGACACAATTAAAATCATAGGACAATCACTTTCATATCTGTGATTTTAGAATTATGGGAACATTGAGATTAGGTGACAGTTTTCCTTCCGAATTCTGATATGACTTTATGAAAGACAGGGAACTGTGTGCTGGCTTTCTGTGAGATGTAGGGATTTAGGAGTTTGTTTCCTACTTCATGAGACCGACAAGAAGGAGGTTCTGTATTCTGAAGAAGGGCTTTGATTTAGCTGCTTCCCAGAATTCAAGAGTAATGACAAGCTGCTAAGACAGGAAGGACACCACAGTATCCATTGCCCTTCAATGCACCAAAGAGTGACATGGGTTGAGTTCTGGGACTGAATTCATGAGCCCAATTTGTTGCCTCCATTTTAGGTCTCATCCTCATGCTACTGACTATGGAAAATCCACCTTTTTATAAATAATCATTTGTAATTTAGTGTGGGAGGTAATTTAGCTACCTCCAGGGGCTACTAGAGAGGGATTTGGAAAACCAGTGGTTACACATTGAGACCTAAAGTGGATGGAGCAGTGTTATGAGAAGTGGCCACTGTAGTAAGTATGTGGTTAGGAGTTACATCCCTAGTGTGGATTCTGCATCTAGATGCTTGTAGTTTGAGTCTACTTAAGTACTCTTCCGGGTGTACTTTTTCCATGTGACTGCCATCGTCAATGAGGCCTGTGCAAAGCGTCTTAGGGTTTCTATTGCTGTGATAAAATAGCATAACCAAAAGCAACTTGGGGAAGAATGAGTTTATTACAGCTTATACTCTCAAGTTACACTCCATCACTGAGGAAAGTAAGGACAGAAACTCAAGGCAGTAACCCTGGAGCAGGCACTGAAGCAGAAGCCACGGAGGAATGCAGCCTATTGGTTTCTTGCTACTGGCTTCCTCAGCCTCCTTTCTTACAGCATCCAGGACCACCTGCGTAGGGGTGGCACCACCCACAGTGAGCCGAGCCCTCCCATATCAAACAATAGTCAAATCATATCCTACAAATTAGACTACAGTCCATGCTTATGGTGATATTCTCAATTAAAGTTTCCTCTTCCTAGATATGGCTATGCTTGTTTCTCAGGAATGATTGGGTAGAAAATCTTATGTTCTCTCACGACTTTTGTGAAATTCGTTGTGTTCTTTGCATTGGTTGTTTTTCTGTCCCCTTTGGTCCTCAATAAAAATCAAACAGAAAGAATTACCACCAATGAGAAAGGAGAAGAGAAAAGGAGGACTTTGAAAAACTAAGCAGTAGATAGATAAAGCAGTAAGTTTACATGTGTGGTTTGAGTTAAGAGTGTTTTGAGTTCTTTGGATTCATATATTAGGTATATTAGGTTCAGCTAGTGTCACCTATAAGCCTCCCCCACTGGGAAGTCTTCATGGACATCTAAGAGATGTGTTAAGCTATTTTGGGTGACTTAAATAAAGAAAGAACACTGGTCAGACAGTATCATGTAGGAACTCAAGGACAAAGAGAAGGGCAGGGCAGGGATACCTTTTTCTATACTTACAATGTCCATCTTGCTGTTCCTGGTGTGATGTGATCAAGGCATGTTGATGAAGACGTGGATAAGGGCAACATCAAGAGGAAAGACAGGAAAGTGTAAAACTTTTCTGAACCTAGAAACTTTGGATGTATATTATAATTTCCAGTGACATTTCTACAGCATCTGCCCGGCAATATATGGATTGTTTTTCTTTTATTTTCTCATTTAAATTCCAGGAATTTAGTACATATATGAATATCATTACAACTTAAGTAAATTTGTTAAGCTCACATAGTTAATAATGATCAGAACCAAAGCCCAGATCTTGGATCTTTCTTCACCCAAACCTTACTGTAAATGTTATTGACTTATCACTAGTTTGAAATAAGAATGACTTTCTGTAAGTGATTGCAATAACAACAATACAAACTTTCTTCTCTTTTCTCTTTTTCAGTGAGACTTCATGACAGTATATCTGAAGAGGGCTTCCATTACTTGGTGTTTGACTTGTAAGTACATGCTTTATATATTCATTTGTTTTTGCCATATAACTGAAAACTTTTGGTTCCAACATGATTCTTCTCATTGCATAGTCCAAATTAAGGACTACTATAATATTTTTAAGTGTTTTCTCAAGTGATTTTCCACTTTAATTTTTTTAAAAAAAGAGAAGCTGCACCAACAGTGTGCTCTTCACATCTCAAACTGTTGTGTGTGTTCTGCTTTGCATTGTCCGTGGGAAACCTTTACAAAAATGACTGACATGAGCAAAGTTTTCCACTGATTTTCTAAGAGCTTCTAAAATGTATTATCCTATGAAAAGAAGAATCCAGAGACATAACCCTGATATTCAAGGTTCATTTAAGCTAATCACAACTTAAATCAAGGTCTTGCCAACAAGAGTGAAGGGGAGATATTGACTCCTGGCAGGCATATAGCAAAATAGTCCACAGGCGTGACTGGCAGGAGCCGAATAAGGGCACACTTACTTGAAATCAGCTTGATACTAATTATCTAAGAGATTAAAAATTAGTTGTATTGTTTGACAATAATTTGACTTCTGGGAAAATAGTCTATAGAAATTATATCCTAAATCCAGGTAAAGTTTTATGTCCAGAGATATTCTGAGCATAAATTATATCATGTTTATAGTGTGTGGGAGGGGAAAACAACTTTAAAATCCAATCATGAGAAAGAATTGTGCGATTACAATACACTTGTTTAATGAATGTTCTCTTGCATTGTTGTTTTGGTCACAATGCATTTGAAAGTACACAACAAAAACAAAAAAGCATTTCATATTAATCTAAAAGTAGTTTAGTAATAAGTTTTATTAAGTCAGATTTTACTGGTTTCATGAAACCATCCTTCTATCTGACTTCTGTAACATGTGGGTTCATCTGAAACTCTACCTGCCCTCCAAAACCTATGACTTTATTTTCAGTTGTAGACTGACTTCCAAAGGAAGCACAAGAGAAAAGCGATGCTGTCAAAGCTATTGTAGCCAATGAACAAAACTTTCCCAGGAAGAGAGCTGACTCCCCCAGATCTTATGACATAGGCTATCACAGAAGAACAATTTATTATTATTTTATTATTATGATGAGAAAAATTAAGATAAGCATGGATAGACAGCCATGCACCTCCTTCTGTTATACTGGGATCCATGTGTATTTGGAAAAACAGTAGCCAAGGCCTGCTTAGACACAGCTCCAGAATCCAGGCTTGTACTCACAGGCACAGCCCGTCCTTGGTGTCCTATTCTGCCCGTGTCATCCTTGATTCTCTGCCTCCTCCTAGGGCTTTCATTCTTACCCTTTCAGTTATTCCCTCTGGCTTCTTGCTTCCCCATGGGCCAAAGCCCTGCTTTATACTTTCCTCTCTGAACTCTCTTTGGCCATTCTTTTGTTTGTTTGATTTTGATGAGGTATAAATATATATAGATTTTGCTCTCTGTGCCTCCCAGTTCCTGTATTACAGAGATGGTCCAGAACACCTTCCCCTTCAGTGTTCCTTGAGAGCAGCATGCTAGCAAGAAATTCATAATTTTCTTTTTCCAGTCTCTCCATTATTTCTTTTTCTATGATGATTGTTCATTTTCTTTCTCCCCCTTCTATACTGTGAATTAAGTGTAGTGCCTCATGTGTGCTGAACAAACATACTCCACCCCAGCCCTGTTTCTTCAGTGATGTGCCCCATCGTACTCCATATATTACTAAGGAGAAATCCCATCATCCTAAAAACCATTTCCCTAAAGATAGTGTTATTTCTCCCTGGTTCTCCCAAGATTTTCCTTTTATCTTTTTTTTTTTCAGAAATGTGATTGTATTGTGTTTCGACTTGTACTTCTGAATTTTTCTTATTTGTGGTTGGTTTTGTCTTTTGTGGGTTATTGTCTGCTAGGTTTGCACATTTTTAGGCACTGTTTTTTGAATATGAAATTCAGCCTGACTTTCTTTCTCCTTTACTTTGAAGTGCTGATGGCGTAGTTGTTGGACTTTGTTGGTGTTTGTCTTCTCTCATTGGTTTCTCAGGCTCTCCCTGTCCAGTTTTGTTTGCAGTCTGTTTGTTCACTTGAGTAAGTTCTTCTGTGCGGTCTTCAGATTTGGTGTTGATTTTCTGCCTCTTTCCTCTGTTTTGTTTTATTTTTCTTTCTTTCTGTTGTTTAGCTTATCAATTGAGTCTTTAAAAATTGCAATTATTCTGTATTTTAGTTCTATGATTTGTTTTGGGGTTTTCTATATATCCTTTGCTTTGCTCCTGGGGCCTCCTGTTGTTCCTATTTGTTCCAAGCATGTTCTTGTTGAGTCATTAAAGTACTTTTATTTGACAGATTGGCAGATTGACAATCCCTCTCATGTAATTGCTAGCTTTGTCGTGATGCTTTCTGCATCAAATTGAGCTTTTCTGATTCCTGATATGATTAGAGATTTGAGATTATATTCTCATTTTGTATTTTTTTCCAAACTCTAGATTGATTTAAATCTTTTTAGTAGCCCTGCAATGATATCACACCAGCAGGGATAGGAGGATGGGTAGACAATGGTACGCAGCTACCCTGTGGCATAGTTCTTTGCTATTGGTCAGGGATTGTGCTGACAGTAGCATTAGAACAAGGTTGGGGCTATATTTGCTCAGAGAAATGCATCTATTTTGTTGTTTTCTTCCCTCAGTATGTGACGTATTGCTATGTATTGATGACTTTACTAGTCAGTAAGCTTAGTTACATAAGACATGGCATCGTGGTTTTCCTGTACTCATCCAGTTACCGATATCTGTGCTATTTATATTATAGGCTTTCATATTCTTTATTATAAAGAGGTGATAAGAACCTATTATTTTCTCATAATTAATTTCCAGAAGTCGGAAAAAAAAAACTGACAAAAACCATATAAAAATAGTTCACATTAAAACAATGCTTATTATTGAATGCACTTAAGACAAGTGTAGCCTTAAAGGTATACGAACTCCTGTGGTATATGGGAAACCATTTGGGCAGTTGCTTCCAACATTTATAAAAATTCTTGAAGAAGGAGTATGCCTGTGCATCTCTTTAGATCCACTTTTTGAGGCCACTTGAGTACCTGAACATGCATGCGGGCATGGATAGAACTCTTTGCCCTCTATATAATTTATAAATGTTATGTAATAGTTACATAATTAATTTATTAGTTGGGGTCCTGTAAATTCCACTAACAGATAATTTAAAGACTTAAAAAAGCAAAACGAATTTTGTGAATGTGTACATCCCATGCCCAGAGACGGATAACTCAAACTGCAAACTTTTCTTCTAAAACATGCTCATTTGGTGTCACAACAATATAATATACATTTTGGTTTTATAAAACATCTTGTGGGGCAGCAAGTTAGATGTCAGGGGAACTAATGGTACGTAAAAGACACTCTAATAAGGTCTGTTAAGTAGATTCTTAAGTGTAGAGTTCAAGCTGATTAACACTGAAGGAGTAACTGGGCAAGAGATCAAGGAGAACAACTTCACAAATTTATGTCCTACTCCTAGACCAATGGAAAGTCAGAGACATTTCTTCTCAATTGCGTTCAATTCATAGGAATTGCTATCAGTATTTAGAATACAGTTAGAAATGTTATTTGTTTAGAAAAATGCAATAGTAGGTTCTTTGGGGGTCTAGGACCTCTCCTGCCGTGGGTATTTAGCTAAGTTTACAGTAGCAGGCATATTCTTTCTTCTAGATCTAGCTTTGAGTCCAATTAGACAGCTGCTGGTTACCCTATGGTAAAAGGGTCACTATCTTACCCTTGGAGTCTTTTCAGGCTGGTTATTATGTGATTCACCGGCTTTGTGGCTGGGTAGGACTATTGACTGCTCTTCCCTCTTGGCAGCTTGCATAACATCTTCAGATACTATCAAAGCTAGTCCTCGGGGAAGAGGCTACCATGTCAGTTCCTGCTCAATTCCTCCAAGTCCTGTGTCTGAAGAGTGTGATATTTTCAACAGCAGAATATTAATTTCAAGCTTACCAGAAGCTTCTTTATGAAACATACTGAGACTATGACAGAGATACACAAATAGTCAAAATATAGAGTGAGTGAATGTTGACCAAGTACCAACTGGTAACACCTGTAACCAACCCTTACACTCAAGACTCAGAGAAAATTGTGGAAGAGGGAGTATAAAGGTTGCAAGAACCAAAGGATCAGTTGCTAGATAGTGTCTTCTAGACATGATAGAGAAGCTGTACCCAAGAAATCTCAACAGCATGGCTGCCTAAACCATACCTGCATAATGATAAAACCACTTGACATGCTAAAGTGGGCGAGGGATGTTTCCACTAGATGAAGAGCTATAGGCAATCAATGGCTTCTGAGAGGAGAATGAGTATATATAGAAGCAATAATTACAGAAGAGGTCATGAATGTAAAAGGAAGTATTAGAATTCAGTAAAAAAGGAGAGGGAAAAGGAGTGGTAGAAATGATATAAATACAATCCAAACATATGAAATTCTCAAAAAATTAAAATTTTAGATGAAAAAAATGTTGTGACAGAGTGACATGTGTTGGGCATTATATTTTCCTTATCTTCATTTGAGACTTATGTGCATCGGGAACTGACAGGAAACACATGCATTGTACGTCTGTGGATATGCTGTGTATGTATATGTTGGAATACACATTTGTCACAGCACTGTAAGCCATGGGAAAATGTGGTAGAGAATAACACTGGGGTCGAATACTTGCAGTCTTCTTACGAAACTACGCAGAGAGAACTGAATAGGTTTATGAAAAAGAGCTGATAATGAAAACTTCATTTTTGTTCTCAGAGATGCCCACAGATAACCATTTAGCATTACCAGTCCTCTAAGCCCCTTCGTTTTTATGTAACAAGCGCCAGTGGGGCTCACTGAGAAACGTGAGACATCTCTGTCTCTTAAGTCCGTTCTGTTTTAGGAGCCTGGAAAGCTAGTTCCATTCTTCAGGCTTGTGGTATAATTGATAGGAACGCCTGGTGTCCTTTACAAATATAAGAAC